AACCAAAGCGCTTTATATACTCGTATATGAACTCAGCTTACTTCTCCTCGATCTCAGAGGCAGAAGCTATAAGCACCCCCATTTTACAGCCCAGCAAACCGAGGCTGGAGAGTTGAGTAGTTTGCCCAAGGTCATTCAGCTACTATGCAGCGAGATACAGAGCTGAGAAGACAGATTTCTCCGACTCTGTGCTGAACCACAAAGCCACAGCTTTCCTTCCTGAAAGCAGTCACTCTGAGCAGTTTCTGTGAATTCCTGCACCGTCAACGCGTTTAAAAGTGGTGCTGTTGTATGTTCATTTGTTTTTCCCCACAGATGCTATGGTGCCCTATCCCGTACACGTTCTTGTGCACTGCACCTTGCCGTCTCCCCTTACAAATATTTTTGACCACCTGATCTATTATTGAAGCCTGCCCTCCACCTAATTCCTCACTAGCCCTCATGCACACCTATATCCATCCATCCATCCATATTTTCCTCTCACTGCTTTGTAAAGATAAGTTGCAAGCAAGACAACCCACTTGACCTACTTGTTTATTTACATTTAGTATTTTTTGACTGTCTCCCGGCTACTAGATTATCGTGCCAGCAGAGAAGAGATTTTCATCTGTTTTGCTCACGGTTATGTACCCAGCCATTCTCGATGCTTGGTAAATACTGGTTGGATGAATCATGGCGGACAGCTCTGTGTCAGTGTGTGGGACAGATGTCTCCTTCTATTTGATGTCTTCTCAGTTTCTGCGGACATGGTTTGTTGAATGACTGAAGGAATGAATTACTGAATGGACAGATGTCCGGTTGAGGAGTTTGGGGTGGCCACTGGGGCCTCTCGGAAGATAGAGGTGACTAGGTTAGATCTGTGCTTTGGGATATTCCAGATGCTTCTCAACTCTGGGGCTTTGCATGGAATACTGTTTGCCTGGAATATTCTTTTCCCTGGTCTTAGTCCAACTCCTTTGTATGTCAGTTCCAATGCCTCCTCCTCCAGGAAGTCCTCCCTGCCCCCCAAGCTTGGTCAAGCATCCCCTCTGGGCTCCCCCATGCCAGACCTGCCTACTCTGTCATCACTGTCTGGGCATGGGTCTGTCTCCTCAACTGGACGTTGAGTCCCAGGAGAACTGAGCCAGGTCTGTTCATAGAGCCAGGACTGTCTTGGTCACTGCCGAGTCCCTATGATCACCCATCTCAGGTGGTGCTCAGAATAAATGTCCATTGTAGGAAATGTCTCTGCTTGGGGAGAAGCCAAGTACAGGGGTAGCCACGGTGTTCCAGAGGGGATGCAGACCAGGATCGAAAACATCTGAGTTCAAATCCCCTCCTCAGGCCGTGTTTGGGCCCAAACATACCTCATTACCCTTATCTGCTTCCAGATTAGGAAAATGAGAGAGTGAGGTGGTCTCTTGGCTTCATGCAGAGAAAATAAAGTCTGACAGCACTTCAGCCAGAGCACGAAGTGTCTCCTTCTGCTGCCTTAGGGCGTTGCGTCTGCCTTTCCCTCTCCCTGGAATGTTCCCAAATTATGCAGGTGAGCTCCTTATCGATGTCAGTGCAAATGTCACCTCCTTCTAGCGGCTGTCCTGACTATCCCTTCACTCTCACACAGTCCATTTGCTTTCTCCCGACACATCTCCACCTGACAGCCCAAGTTTATTTCCTCATCTTCCACCATTGGGATGCAAGCTCCAGCAGGCAGGGAGTTTTGTCTGGTTTGTTTGTTTGTTCATCTCTCTTACTCCGGAATCCCCGGTATCTTGAACAGCCCTTGGCCCTACAGATTCTCAAGGAATTTGTTGAACGAGTGACATGCTCAGGAACTATCCCCTGTGTGCATGATCATGTTTGGGCTCACATGGACACTAGGACAAATGAGGAAACTGACACTCACTGGGAAGTGGTGGAGTTAGGATTCGAACCCATGTCTGCATGACTTCAGTGCCCACACTAGAACCAAGTGCAACCGAGGAGTTTGTTGAATGAATGTGACTTCAAACCAGGAAGGTGGGGCGGGGGTGGAAGGCTTTCTCAGGTAGGTGGTATTGAGGATTTGCGAGGGAAGCACATCCCGGAGAAACAGGAAGCAGGCCCAGGAGGCCACACAAGCCCGGGGGTGGGGGCTGTCAGAGCCTGGGCACATGCTCGGCTCAGCCTGGTCCCAGTGCTTCAGATCCTGCAGGATTTAACCATAAACTCTCCAAACTCCTTCCCATGCAGGCCTAGGCCTAGGCCTGGCAGTGACCAGGAGGCAGAGCTCACCACTAGGGCCCAGCAATGTATGGGCTGCCAGGGCCCAAACCATGCTCTTCGATAATAGTAACAATAACAACACTAATAGTACTAGTTGTATTTAACTTTCATTAAGGGCTAACATGTACCCTGTCTAAATGCTTTGCACATATTGTCTCAGCTGATCCTTGCAACTCCCAAGAAGGTATGACCTATTATTATTCTTCCCATTTTACAGATGTGGAGACTGAGCCTTACAGAGGTTGCCACTTGCCTAAGGCCCCCACAGCTGCTGTAGGAGGAAGCTTCTGAAGTTAACTATAGCCTTTGAGCATGTGTGAAAACCTGAACTGTTATCAGAGAACGGGATAGGTGGGGAAGGACTTAGGATTTCAGCACTGCCAGGTGGAATGAGGAATCATGGTCATTCACTGCTAATCACTCGAATGTCACCCAATAGGGAATTTGGGGAGGTAGCAAGAGTGGGTGTGGTTAGTGCTTGGGAGGCAGGTATGCAAGTCTCAGCTTCCCCAGGTGTGGCCTCAAGGCAAGAGACTTCCTCTGGCCATAAGCCTCAATTTTGCCCATCTGGAGAATAGGCGTAATGGTGGGACCAGCTCACCAAGCAGTTACGAAGATTCCTGTGAAATCAGGCATATGCATTTGTCAAAAATCAGCTACTGGCACTTAGGATCTGAGCATTTCATTGTATATAAATTTTACCTGAAAAGAAAAAAGAAGAGGCCAGAGGATGGCTAGAGCCCTAGCCCCGGCAACAGAATGAGATCCTGTCTCGGAAAAAAAAAAAAAGGAGCACACAAATATTGAACTCCGATTAATAATATGCATGCTGGAGTATTTAGAAGGAAAAATGCACTAATGTCTGCAATTTACTTTGGCATCAGCAGAAAAAGGTGAATGGATGGATAGAAAGAGAGATAAATGGTTAGAAATATGATGTAGGCCGGGAGTGGTGGCTCATGTCTGTAATCCTAGCACTGAGAGGCTGAGGTGGGAGGATCGCTCGAGGTCAGGAGTTGGAGACCAGCCTGAGCAAGAGCGAGACCCCGTCTCTACTAAAAATACAAAGAAATTA